TGGCTTGATTACTGTGGCTTGTGCTGCTATACACATGGGTATGCATGTATCACTGTAGTAGGATGACTCTAATTTTTCAGGATAAACATGAGGAGTGGTAGAGCTGGATCATATGATGGTTCCACTATTACTATAGTGTTTTAAGAAAACTCCATACTGACTTATATAGCGGTCGTACTAGTTTACAGTCCCGCCAACAATATAAAAATGTTCCTTTTTCTCCACATTCTCTCCATCACTTACTGTTATTTATTTTCTTGAACACTGCTATTCTGACTGGAGTGAGGTAAAACCCAGTGTAGTGTTGACTGCATCTTCCTGATTGCTAATGATTTTGAACATTTTTTCATATATTTGTTGGCCTTTGTATTTCTTCTTTTGAGAAATGTCTGTTTAATTCATTTGCCCATTTATTAATTGGGGGGTTAAGTTTTTCGGTTCTGTATATATTCTAAATATTAATCCTCTGTCAGTAGAGCAGCTAGCAAAGATTTTCTCATATTCTGTAGGTTCTCTCTTCATATTCCTAATTATTTTCTTTGCTGTGTAGAAGCTTCTTAATTTGATGCCATCCCATTTACTAACTCTTGGCATTGTATCCTGAGCTTTAGGCATTCTAGTGAGAAAGTGGTTGCCTGTGCCTATATACTGGAGTATTGACCCTACATTTTCTTCTAGGAGTTGCATAGTTTCTGGTCCAATTCCAAAGTCTTTGGTCTCTTTTGAGTTGACTTTCGTGCAGGGTGAGAGATAAGGATCTAGTTTCACTCTTCTACATATGAAGAACCAATTTGCCCAGCACCATTTGTTTAAAATGCTCCTTTTCTTCCATTATGTTTTTGGCACCATTGTTAAGTATCAGATGACTCTATCTAGGTGGGTTTGTCTCTGTGTCTTCTATTCTGTACCATTGGTCTATGTGTCTGTGGTCATGCCAATACCATGCAATTTTTGTTACTATAGTATAATTGGAAGTCAAGTATTGTGAGGCATCCAGCATTGCTTTTTGTTTGTTTGATTGTTTTATTTTGTTTGGCTTAGAATTGCTTTGTCTATCCTGGGTCTTTTATTCTTCCAAATTAATTTTAGGACGTTTTTCTAGTTCTATGAAGATTGTCCTTGGTATTTTGATAGGACTGCTTTGAATGTCTATATTGCTTTGGTTAGTATGCCCATTTTAACAATATTAATTCTGCCTACCCATGAATTTGAGAGGTTTTTCCATCTTCTGAGGTCTTCAATTTCTTTCTTCAATTTTCTATAGTTTCATTATATAAGTCTTTCACCTCCTTGGATAGATCTATTCCTAAGTATTTTATTTTTCTGAAGCTATTGTGAATGAAATTTTTCCTGATTTCTTTCTCGGCAGATTAATTGTGGTATATTGGAAAGCTATTGATGTTTGTGTATTGATTTTGTAACCTGCTACTTTGCCAAGTCTGCTTATTAGCTCTAGCAGTCTTTTGGTAGAGTTTTTGAACTTTCTAAGTAAAGGATTGTATCATATGCAAAAAGTGATAATTTGACTTCTTCCTTTCCCATTTTTCTCCTTTAATTTCCTTCTCTAATTGCTCTGGCTAGAAGAATACCTAGCACTATATTAAATAGGAATTGTGAGAGCAGACATCCTTGTCTTTTCCAAGATTTTAAAGGGAATTCTTTTCGTTTTTCCCCACTTACTATGAGGTTTGCTTTGGATTTTTTGTAAATAGCCTTTATGTGTTGAGATAGGTTCCTTCTATCTTAGTTTCTTCACTATTTTTATCATGAATAGGTGCTGAATTTTGTCAAGGGCTTTCTCTGAATCTATTGAGATAACTAAGTAATTTTTGTCCTTAATTTCATTTATGTGATGAATGACATATATTGATTTGTGTAGATTAGGCCATCCTTGAATCTCTGAAATAAATATCCATCCTACTTTGAACGGGCTGACTGGGTGGTAACTGTGGGCATGTGGGATGTGGCTGAAGGAGGTCTGTCACTGGGGGCTGCCCTGGAAGGTTTCTCTTCCCCGTGGCCCCTTTCTCTGCTTCCTGGCAGCCATGAATGGAGCAGCACTCCTTCACCATACCCTTCCACATGGTGCTCTGCTTCACATTGGGCCCAGAGCAAGGGAATCCACCAACCATGGACTACACCTCTGAAACCATGGCCCAAAATAAATTTGTCCTTCTCTAAATAGTGTTTGTCAGGTATTTGAGGCACAATGACAAAAAAAAAAAAAACTGACCAACAGAGTAATATGTTATTCCCATTATTATATTGATAACCTTATTGGTTTTCTAAATTTTAAATAAAAAATACACAAATAAGAACAATAATGAAAAACAAAATATGCACACAGTATATAGGCATATATTTACATGTATATATGAATTTATTTTATACAAGAAAAGTTTATTAGTGATTTAGCAGAAGTTATTTCAATAGAAAAATGGGGGAGAAAGAAAAGAAAAATGTGGGAAAATGTCAAAAACCTGTGGGGTGAAAAATGAATGAGAAGCTTACTGTCTCTGTCCTAGAGAAAGTCAGGATTTTACTTAAGTGGAAACTAAATGATGTTTAAACTATGGGGGGGGAAATTTAAGACAGAATAAGTACATTTCTCAAAAATCTACATATATGTGGAATATTTAGCTGCCTTCCTCTTTGTGAATAATATTCATAAAAATAATCTATCTATAACTTTCAAAAAAGCAGTGAATGAAGGATAAAGAGGTAGAAATAGAGCATCCAGAACTTTATTTTCCCAAGAAGAAACAGGAAAGCTGGGGTGTTGAGTAAAAAGCACACTTGACACAAGGAAGGAATTTCGTGTTTGTTTTTAACATATGGGGATTTATTCACAGACTGTAAAGAGGAAAATATGTTTTTAAATTGCAACAAGGAGGAAAAGATAATTAATCCAGCATAGCCTCCAAGATTCTGATATTGCAGACCAGAGGGAAGAAAAGTAAACAACGAGTACTTGATTGACGTTATTTGTTGACTATCTAGGACCCTTCTAGAAAGCTATTCTCAGTAAAACCCGAGGATTCCTAGGCCCAACCCACTGTGTCAGGGCACGTTCGCTTCTGTCTCCTTCTGTAACGATGTGTGCTTGATACCTTGATAACTACCTGATTCTCTACTCTGTGTTCTTTTGAGAAACCACGTTGGTCAAAGCACCGTGTCTCCTTCAGGCTGCTGCTCAATGTGCAGTACTTTTCCACACTTAACCGGGCGTCCACTGCCTCACCCCCGGAATGCAATCACCCTTCCTTTGATGTCCCCAGTTGCCGGCCCAGGGATCACACAATGTTCATGGGGCTTCCTGGGCAGCATTCCAGGCCTGCTGCCCAGCTCCAGATCTATCAAGCAGGGAAACAAATGTTTTTAGAAAATGTCAAAAAGTCACTGAACATTCTGCCCTTTGTGCTCCCTAAAGGACTTCAATTAATTTGTCCTCATAAATTTTTATTGCTCTGGGCTGGGGATGTGGCTCAGTGACAGAGCGCTTGTCTCACATATGTGAAGCACTGGGTTCGATCCTCAGCACCTCATAAAAATAAATAAACAAAATAAAGATATTGTGCCCATGTATAACTAAAAAAGTACTTAAAGTAAAAAAAAAAAAAAAACTGTATTGCTCTGCCATGTAAACTATGCTTCCAAACTTTTCCTTGTGATCAAGAAACCAAGAACTCACAGATGCATGAGAAAAATCATGAAATTTAGGACTCATGATCAGGTATGATAACGATCCTAGACCAGTCTGATTTTGGTGAATAGAACAGTGTTCAATAACTAGCACACACCCTGGTGCAGTGCAGTGACCTCCATGTCCACTCAGTTTCTAGGCAGCTGGGGGCGGCTCCAGCCTTTTGAGAAGAGGAAGAAGGTGGACCCAGACTTGGAGAATCGTCCCCAGCACTTTTATTCCCTGACTCGGCCTCTTCCAGGAGCTCCAGCAGTGGTACCACGGCTCCCCTCCATCCCTCAGCCCCCACTCAGCTCACCAGGTCACTTTCAAAGTCTCAACAGCCCCAGAGGACTGCTTAGACCACAGGACTTCATGTTCCATTCTCTGAAACCCTAAAGCCCAAGGAGCACCCTGGGAGGAGACCGCTGGCTTCCTTCTTGGTGCTGGAAAGTACAGACCCAGAATGAGGCCAGCCGGAATGTCATGAGGGCCCTAGGAGACCAGGGGTGCAGATGCGTTCACAGGCCCTCCTGAAGCCTTCCTGGCCGCCCACACTGCTCTCGGTTCCCTTATGTGCATCTCTGTTGTCAAAGAAGTCGCGGGTGCCGTTTAGTCAGAGATCGGCTCCGTTGGCAGCACCACTGGTTTTGCACATCGTTTGCATTCCTAAGTGTGCGGCAGGTCCCCTAAGGCTCTCTCTTCTTTCTTTGGCTTCCCGTGTTACATACAGCTGAAGTGTAAAGACTCTGTGTTCACTAATACTTAAACACAAGTTGGTGGATCTCATTTAGAGCTTGGACAGAAAGTCCAATTATTTTACTGCACATTACATTTACAAAACTCATTTACAAACCAAAGCTTTTTATACCTCATCAGCCTGTGTGTACCTTCACGTCATTGCTCAAGTGGGCTAATGTATACCCCCCAAAAATATTAATAAGTTGGCATGCTGTTACTTCTAGTTCTTCTCTATTATTAGGGCAATAAAGTGCATAATTTTACTCCATAAATGTTACTTTATCTTCTGTAGTTCCTCCAGAAACGGTAGATAATGTCAATTGTTAACAGACTCTCTCTCCTGCTTCACCGAGCCCCTCGGGCTGGGCCCTCTGACCACCCTGGCCCACACCCTGTGGGCACTCAGCAGATGTTCTTTGAGTGACTGATCGCCGTGCCCTTTCTGTGCTATCTCCTGAAGAGTCTCACTGGAACATAGCAATGTTCTTGTTCCTGAAGGTTCAATAATCAGACAGCAGCACACCTCTTGAGAACTTCTCTTCATCACAGCCACTGATTATAGCTTGCCTCTTCCTCCATGAGGGTCTTGCTTTCCGTCCTGGGAGTCCTCATCTTGTTGTCTGTCGTCCCCCCAGGTAAGACAGAGGGTTTTCATTCCTATGACTGAAACAAGAGAAAGGGAATGGAAGGTCTTCCAAGAGTTTGAAAATAAACAAGGTCAGACATCACTGCAGCATGAAGGCTGCTGGGGGGGCTGGGGGGCTGGTGTCAAGGTCAATATCAAGGGGGGGGCTTCTTTTTAGTAACTTAACCTACAAACTTTAACTTCAAGGCTCTGCTTGACCTGAAGATGGTAGGAGGCAGAACAAAGGAAATCTGGAGAACTGAGAAAATGAGAAAGGAGTAACTAGAAGGCAGCAGGTGGCGGGGTGGGGGGGTGTGTGCACCACCTTAACGGCTGGTCCTCAGAATTCCTGCCACTGGTCGGGGCGAGGGCCTAGGCTTCAAGTCCGTTAAAATTTTCATGGTTTTATCTACATTATGTGGAAATTACTTTATGTCTGGGGGAAGTTAATAGTATACCTTAATTTGTAATGAAATAACTAATCAACTCTATAAATATGTTTATTGAATAATCAATCTCCAATTAATTTTAAAATTTGCCAGTGTTATATAACAAATTCACACACCTGGATTTGTATTATTATCTATTTATTTATTTGTTTTTTTTTCTGATGCACAAATTCCCTTAGAGCAGTTTGATGCCTCACAATTTAAGATTTTTCTCATTGTTATTGTTTTCTATGTTTTTATTGAGACAAGATTCACTGTTATAAAGTGTACCGTTCAGTGGCTTTCAGAGTGTTTGTAAAGATCTGCGGCCACCACCTTTGTCTAATTCCAGGAAGTTTTCATAACCCCAAAGAGAAACTCTATCCATTCTCCCTGTCTCCCAGGCCTTGGCAACCACTCACCTACTTTTTTTTTTTTTGTATATGCCCATTCTGGACATCTAATACAAATAGGATCCTACAGCCCACCACCCTTTCTGCCTCCTTTCACTTAGCATTTTTCAAGGATCTTCCACGTATCAGTACTTCATTGCTTTCTACCGATGAAAAATATTTCACTATATGAATATACTATATTCTGTTCATCCATTGATGGACACATGGATGGTTCCACTTTGGGGGTTTTTGTCAATAAAGCTACTCAGGATATTTGTGCCCACGTTTTTGTGCAAACATAAATCTAAAATTACAATTGCTGTGTTAGACAGTGATTCTATATTCAGCTTTCTGGGGGATCGCTAAGGTGCTTTCCACAGCTGGGTGCTTTATTTTGCATTCCCTTAAGCAATGTAAAGTTTCAGTGTCTCTACAGCCTCACCAGCATTTGCTGTTCTATGTCATTCTAGTTGGTCATGGCTGTGATTCTAGTTGGTGTGAAACAATATCCTATTGTAATTTTAATTTGTGAAGAGTGAGGATACTTTCATAAGTTGATTGTCCATTGGTACACCTTCTTTAGAGAAATGTCTATCCAAACCACTTGCCCATTTTTATTGGGTTGCCTTTTTGTTATTGGATTATGAGTTCTTTGTGTATTTTTTATACTAAATCCTTATCAGATACAAATTTCAAGTAGTTTCTCTTATCCTGAACATTGTTTTTTAAAAAATATTTTACTGGACATACTTACTGTGTCAAGTGAGTAAGTTTTCAGATTCAAGTCACAGACAACCCAGACTTGGAAGCCTTCAGTAAAATTTATGATTTCATATAACAAGGAATCCCACAATCAGACAGTTCTAAAACTCATTAGCTCAACAGATTAGCAACACCAAGTGTTAGAAGGGTGTCCAATTTATCGTTAGTCCTGCTCCTGGTCTAAAGATAGCTATTGTTCTAGACATCACATCCAAACCTGCTGAATTACACAAGAACTAAAAGGTGGTACTTCTTTCAATGTCAGCCAGAAGTATGCTGCCAGAAGTTCTCCCCAAGAGTCCCATCCCCATCCCCACGCTAATCACAAAGAAGGGTAGACATACAAATGAGGAGGCTGAGAACAAGGATGGCCGTGTTGGTCACCTGGGCAGTCTACACACTACTGTGTGGTCTTGCCACTTGCTTTGAACTTTACATAAACAGAACATATAGAATTCACCTTCTGCATCTGGTTTATTTTACTGCACATTACATTTACAAAACTCACTGATGTGGCTGTGTGCAACTATAGTGCATTATTTTTAATACTACATAGTGTTTCATCATAGCAATATGCCACAATTTATTTATGAATATTTCTGTTGAAGAAGACTTAGATTGTTTCCAGGTTTCAATGGTTATAAACACTATTACTACTATAAACATTTTTAAATTATTCTGATTGTACATATGCATACTTTTTTCTTTTTATATTTTGCAGGTTTTTAATTTATGCTTTTATGAGTACATGATAGTTTACATAACTGTGGGATTCATTGTAAAATATTCATAAATGCACATGACATAATTTCCTCTGTTTTGGTCCCCAGTACTGCCCCCTGTCCCTCCCCTCCTCCCTCTCCCTGATCTCCTTCCTCTACTCAGTCTCCATCTATTCATTTATTTTTTAATTGGGTGCACACATTTTTATTAGGTATATACTAAAGAATGAAAGTGTTTTTCTTAGGGGATGTGTATCTTCAGTTTGGGGAATAATGCCAAAGAATTTGCTGATTAGTTGAGCAAATTTATACTCCCTTTAACAGCATAGAAGAGCTCTTACTGGTTTATATCGCATTAGTAGTTTATATCATCAGGCTGCTATTTATTTATAACAGATGTACAGGAGTAACTCAGTGTAGTTTAAATTTGAATTTGGGTTACTGATAAAATTTAGGATATTTTCATTTGTTTATTGGCAATTTTAACATTATCATTCTTGAAGTACTTGTTTAAATATTTTGCCCATTATCCACTGATTTATTTGTTATTTTCTCATATACTGTTTTTAATTATATATTCTGAATGCAAGTGATTTTATATACCTTGCAAATACCTTTTGTTCTATGACTTGTCTTTTCATTCCTTCTATGAGGTCTCTTTATGAAATTAATGTTGATATCAATGTAAATTTATCAAAATTCATTTTAATTAATGCTTTTAATTTTGTTTCTCCTTAAGAAAAACTTTCTCTACATTAAGTTCATAAAGATATTATGTGATATGATCTTCTGAAAGCCTTACCGATTTACCTGTTATTTGGATTTCACATCTTCACCCTATGTTGGTTTTTGCAAACAAGGGCTCATCATTTACTTAATTTTTTAATATTTTTTAGGTGGAGATGGACACAATACCTTTATTTTTATATATATTTTTATATATATTTTTAGTTGTAAATAAGCACAATACCTTTATTTTATTTACTTATTTTTATGTGGTGCTGAGACTTGAACCCAGTGCCTCACACATGCTAGGCAAGCACCCTGCCACTGAGCTACATACAGCCCTAGCCCCTCATCATTTATTTTTTGCTTTTACCACATGGGTAGCCAACTGGCCCAGCACCCTTTGTTTTAAAAACAGCATCTTTTTTTTCAAGGATTTTCTATGCCATATTCGTCATAGATCTAGCATCTGTGTGTGAGTATATGTTCTGTGATGTTTCATGGACCTATGTGTCACTCCTTGCACAGTATCACACTATCATAATTATTGACAATTCATAATGTCTTTATAGCTAATAGAGCAGGATGTCTCCATTTTCCTTTTGTAAGAACATCTCAAATATTTATGTACATTTATATTCATTTCTATTTCACATAAATTTCAGGATCACCTAGTCAAGCGTGCACACACACACACACACACAAAGAGAACTTTCATTTAGACTGCAGTGATAGATCACCTACTATATAAAGCAAATGTTAATCAATATGAGGAGAAAGCAAGGCCGCAACATAATCATGGTAGCAGATAGCAGTGGACAGATAGATCATCCAGACAGAAAAATCAACACCAAACATTGGACTTGTTCTACATTTTAGACCAAAGGGACCAAACATACAGAACATTCCACCCAACAGCAGCAAATACACGTTCTCCTTAGGTGCACAAGGACATTGTCCAGAAGAGATCGTAGTTTACTGCAAAATGAATCTTAACACATTTAAGAAGACTAAAATCATGTCATATAACTTCTCCAACTGCAGTGATATGAAACTATACATTATTAATAGGAATGATTTCAGAAATTTTACAAGTATGTGAAAATTAAATAGCATGCTCCTAAACAACTAGCAGGACAAGAAAAAATTGAAAAGGAAATTTTAAAATATCTGGAGGCAAACAAAAACAGAATTTCAACATAGTAAATCTTAGGGGATGCTGCAAAGGTAGTTCCGGGGACACTAATTATAATAAACTCACATATAAAGTTCATAATAACAAACCTACATTGAAAGCAAAGAAAGGTCTCAGATAACTGAATGCACCGAAGAGTTGGAACCAAGACCCCTTGTCACTCCCAGTTAATGACTTCTTTCACCCAGAAAATAGAAACACAGAGGAAACTTCTGTTTCTCCACCACGAGACCTCTTCCCCTAATTTTATCTTCAGCTATACTCTGCCTTCTCTTCATTCTCTCATTTAAGACTAACGCCTCCTGTACACTGGATTCCATTCCCACTCTGCTTCTGGAATTCAACCACCTTTCTTGAGTCATGGATTTGCACCCTCCAGCTGGATCATTCATTCTTACAGAAATATGCAGTAACTGTCCTCACTAAAACTCCATCACACTGGGTGTGGTGACACACACCTGTAATCCCAGCATCCAGGAGGCTGAGGCTAAAAGGAGGATCATGAGTTCAAAGCCAGCCTCAGCAATGGTGAGGCACTAAGCAACTTGGTGAGATCCTGTCTCTAAATAAAATACAAAATAGGGCTGGGGATGTGGCTCAGTGACCAAGTGCCCCTGAGTTCAATCCCTGTACACTTCTAGCTACTACCTCATTTATCTGCTCTCTTTAGAGAAGAAATTGTCAATTGTCTTTATTTGCAATATCTCCACTTTCTCTCTTGCATTCTTTTTTATTGTTTAACCCTCTGGGAAAGTTTTTTATTGTTGCTGTTTTTAGCTCATAAAACATTTTGAATATTAAAAATAACAAGTAAGTAACACAATATATCATTTGTCTTCTCTTTTCAAAGCCAGAAATTTTTTTTCTAGGACTGGCTGTTCTACAGGATTCTATAATTGCAGGATGGCTTGCAAAAAAAATGAATATGCAGTTCGATATTGTAAGAACTGGACAATCTGCTGCAAGATAAAGAAGTCTCAATTACTTAAGGAAAAAAAGGTGGTGACAAATCTCATGCTATCTTCTTCAGACCCCAAGAAAAGAAACTGAAAATCTTCAAAACCCACTATCTATATAAGAATATTAATATGGTAGATAAAAGGAAATTCATGATAATTACCTGTCTAGATGATCAGGTTAAAATAGACACAAGTTTTATAAACTCTTCTACTCTGTTTTCATGTGCATATTTAGAAATATCCTCAATTTATGTCCTCAACCACGTTGTTGTTTCACCTATAATACTATATCACAGCCCCACCTAGTAATAAATATTTTACCTTGAGTGAGTTATTTTTTCTATTTTTGTTTCCTTTTCTATAAAATGAGATGACAATAGTACCCACATTGTGGTATTGTGACGATTATAAGAGTTAGTATATGTGAAGTTTTTAAACAGCTCTTTATATTATATATATATTTTATATACATCTTAGCTATAATTTCATAGGACCAGAGAATTTGGTTCATCCTATCAATTTGGGGGGCTGTTGAATTTTTTTTTTTTTTGGTTTTTTGTTTTTTATTTAGGATGCAGTTTATATGTGTAAAAATTCCAAATGGTTTTGAAAAACAAAAGTTTTATTTCCTGTTTATGAAATATATAACTTTATACAAACACAATCTATTAAGACCAAGCAACATTATTCTATCAGTAACTAGACTGAGACATTTGTATTGAGAATTACAGAAAATGAAGAGATGCAAGATGAATTTCAGCATTAGGATTACAGGATTTATTTGATAGCATGAAAAAGCATGAAAGATGATGCTGAGATTTCAAAGCTGACCAAGAGATAGATGGCAATAAACCCAGAAAAGAAAGAAGGTTAGGAGTGGGGGAAGGTTGATAGAAATGTTTTGTCATAACAGAGTTTGAGTCATGTAAGGAAAATGAACATCAGTTCACCAGGTACATTTACAAAGTATAATTTCATTTTGTATGAATGAATTTCTACTTTGAGCCTCATTCCACCTGTTCACAGAAACTTAAGCTTGTTAGTTCAGAGTTATTCATCTTTTCTCCAGGTTACCTTTAAGTTCCAGGGAAGATGAGCAATGGCAACCTACCTGGGTGAGCACTGATGTTGCTAACTTTACAAAGCATCCTCATTTTACCTGGTTTCCAGTCATTGTTACTCTAGGTGTAACTGCTAAGCTTGGTTGCCTGTTATTTTCAACTTTAGTTGTCGCAGTCCGGCTGCAGCAAAATAACCGAGGGGGTGACGAGGAACTTGTGTAGATTGATACAGCAGGAGTAGGAGCCGTTTATTGTAGGACAACAGAGGTATTTATACATTCCACACAGCTTATCTTAATTAGCATAAACTAGATACAGCAGTCAACCAATAAGGAATCTCCACACTTAATGGCTCGCTGGCGTTACTTCACAAACCACTCCCTCTGGCAAAATGCCAGGTGCCATCCTGACTTGTTTACAGACTCTAACATTTAGTAAAATCCTTTAAGCTGGGTGAGTTTCATTCTTTGGTGTATTGGATAATTCTGCTACTTATGCATCTTTCTAGGTCATAAGTAGAATGAGAAAACCGTGAGAAAACCCATGGTACTATATAGTTTGGAAGTGGTTTAATTGTTTCGTTTTTCTCTCTCAGGGGTCCATATCATAAATGCCTGGTCCCAAGGGTGATGGCATTGGAAGTGCTGAAGTCCTTTAAGTAGTTGGAGGTACTTCGGTTACTGGGGTCTTGCCTTACAGAAAACTGTGTGTGTGTGTGTGTGTGTGTGTGTCTCCTCTCCTCAAATTTGAGATGTGACCATTTGCTCCTACACACACTGCCCCCATAATGAAGCTCAGGCAAGTGGATCACCTGAAACTTCAAAAGTAAATAAATTTTTCTCATATAAGCAACCTATATGTTTTATATATATATATATATATATATATATATATATATATATATACACACATATAAATACACTACAATTTCTTCATCCATTTATACATTGATGGATGCTTTGGTGGTTCCCATAATTTAGATTTTCTGAATAATACTATAATGAACATGTGAGTGCAGATACCTCTTCAAGATCCTGACACATCTGGTGTCATACCAGCAACTCACACAATTCAATAGCGAAAAAAAAAAACAGTAACAATAATAAACTGATTAAAATTAGGCAAAGGACTTGAATAGACATTTCTCACACAATACAAACAAATGGCCAACACATATATGAAAAGACATTGAATAGCAGCAATCATCAGGGAAATTCAAATTAAAACTATGACAAGATATTACTTCACTCCTGTTAGGATGACTATTATTCCAAAAATCTAAAGATAATGAGTGTTGACAGAAAAAGGAGAAATTGAAACAATTCTACACTGATATTGATAATATAAAATGATGTTAATGCTATGAAAACAGTATGGAGGGTCCTCAAAAAATTAAAAAGAGAACTACTATATGATCCAGCAATCCCATATCTGGGTATATAATAGAAATATCTTTCTTTTTTATTGATCTGATATGTAACACATATGGAAGTCAGACCCAGAAGACAGAGAGTACTAGATCCAAAACAATCTATAGATTCAATGTAATCCCCATCAAAATACCAATGACATTCTTCTCAGAACTAGGAAAATATGGTCCTAAATTCATTTGGAAGAATAAAAGACCCAAAAGAGCTTAAGCAATAAAAATCAATGCTGGAGGCATCACAAAACCTGACTTCAAATTATACTACAGAGCAATAGTAACAAAAATTGCAGGGTACTGGCACAAAAACAGAAACAAAGGCCAGTGGAACAGAATAGAAGACACAGAGACAAACCACACAATACAGTCATGTGATCCTTGACAAAAGCAGGCCAAAAGCATATGTTGGAGAAAAGGTAAGTTTTCTATGGTGCTGAGAAAACTGGTTATTCAATATGTAGAAGAATGAAGCTAGATGCCGAGATCTCACCCTGCACAAAAGTCAACTCAATGTAGATCAAAGATCTGGAAATTAGACCAAAAACTATGCAACTCCTAGAAGCAAACGCAGGGTCAATGCTTTAACATATAGACATGGGCAAAAATTTCAATAGGACTACTAAAGCTCAGGAAATAATTCTAAGAGTTAATAAATGGGATGGCATCAAATTTAAAAGCTTCTACACAAAGGAAACAATTAGCAACTGAAGAAAGGACCTACACAATGGGAGAAGATCTTTGCCAACTCTCCTCTTTTGACTCTGAAACAAGAAACACAAGTCCTGGGGACATACAATGTGAGCAGCAGTATATGTTAATTTAATTGTGACCATCATTACACAATACATACATAGATCAGATCACCATTATATTCCTTGGATGGACATAATCTTCATGTCAATTGAATAACTTTAAAAAATAAAACAAATCCATGAAAATTAAAAATGAAACCATGAGATGTGAAATCATTTATCCTACCAAGACTTAGACGTGAATATCCTTAGCAGTTTTATTTTTAATAGCAAAACTAGAAACTATCAAATGTCTATCAATAGTTGAATAAAAAATACACAGAAGTATATCCAAACCTTATCACTCAGCAATAAAAAAGAAATGAAAAACAACTGATAAATGTCATAGCGTGGATGAATCTGAAACAACTAGGCTGAGCGAAAGAAATTCAACAGAAAAAATACATTACATGAGTCCATTCACATAAAATTCCAAGAAAATGCAAACTAATCTATAGCAACAGCAGGACAGTGTTGACCTAGAGACTGGGAAGTGAAGGAGAAAATATTATAAAAGGCATAAAGAATTCTTAGGTGGAATAAATATGTTCACTATCCTGTGATGATGGTTTCACAAAAGTATATGTGTATGTCAAAACTTACCAACTTTTATGTTTGCAGTTTATTATATGCCATTTATAATTCAATAATGAGTTTTAAATAGCGGCAATTGCTAAAAATGCCCTTGATGGATTATTGTTCAACATTTTTAGATATTACTTATGAAGAAATTATAATGATGTACATGAGTCAAGTTACAAAAAATAGGATCCCTAATAATAAGAATATTAACTTTATATCCTTAAACATACCCTGATTTGACCAATACACTGTATACACCTATAGAATCATCTCACTGTACCCCATAAATTTGTACCAAAAAAATACTTATTAATAAAAAATAAGAAAAAGCTCCTAAACAAGAAAAACTATTAAACAACAAACTAGGCAAAGACAAACCTTTCTTAAGAGACACACAGGTTACTAACAGTAGGGCTCGGGTATAAGTTTTCCTTTCTTGTCATTTTTTTATATTTTACAAATTTTTTATACTTTGTGTTTTTATTTTTGCTATAAAATAAAAGCGGAACAAAAATCAATTTTGTTCCTGTGAAAATGAAAGGGTATGTCATTCTCCGTGCTCCATGAGCACTTTTATGGAACCTGCGAGTGGGAGCACAGTGTCTTCATGAAGGGGAAAAGCTGTCCAACAGGAAAGACATGTCAGTTTTGTCCCCAGAGGAGCTGTGCCAACTCAGCCACCTGGGAGTGTCCACCACACCAGGTGCACCCGGAGCAGAGCACACCCCAGACCTGAAGATCCGCACAAGAGGGTGCACTCAACCCCCCCTCCTCTCTTTTCTCTGACAGTGTCGGGGGCTGCCACCACCCTCCACCGCAGAAGGCCCCTGCCATGAAGTCTCTCCTCCTTGTGTTTGCCTTTCTCTGCTCTTGGGATACAGCAAGCCCTGGCAAGTAAGATGGAATCTCCCTGGGGCTGGGGGTGGCTTCATCTAATTCCACTAAGCAACCTGATGAATGTACTGGCACCAAGGACCCTTAAATTGTCAAAGTAGGAAACGCACCGGGCAGCTTTGATGTCAGCAAGCTGCGTGCTTGAATTTTAGCTCTCCAGTGTGTTCGCTGGACAAAGGGACGCTTCTCTCGACCTGTCCCTTCACTTACAAAATGGAAATCGTGGTACTAACTGTGGGGCCTTGCTAGGATTAAATAGGAGAATGTGCCTGTAAAGTACCTGACTCGTGAGAGCTCTCATTATATTTTCATGATTAATGCCCCATCCTGCTTTATCACCATCGTCCTGTCTCTAATTTAAGAACATATTTAAGTATGCCGCTCAAAACAAGCAAGTAGCAGTAAGATAATTTGTTAAGCTTTCTAAGGTACCTAAATTGCTTATCATTAATTCACTATTTGTGAATCCCTTATGTACATGAGGGAGCAGATTTGAAACTGCTTATTTCAAAAGAATCACTTTGTTTTCTGTGGTGGTGGAAATGTCTGGTCAGATGAGGTAGTAGCTAAGGAGACATGAGGGACAGCATGATCAGCCTTGTCCATATTCTTCCCTTCACTGGATGTTACTGAATCAGCCCAGATCCTTATATCGTAGATACCCATCTAGTTTTCTAGCATCCTGAAGTATTCTGTCGGCAGAGGAACCAGATTTTCGGATCATGTGACTCAACAGGCTGAGTTTAAGCATCAATGGGATCCAGGCTTCTTCTGCTGCTGCTACTGGAAACTGTTCCACTTAGGTTTATGACAGTGTTTCACAGCCTCCGTTTCAGCAGCTCCGTGCGGTCTTCAAGGTTCCCTTTGGTGCCTTATACATTCTCAATAGCTTGCCATCGCCATGGGAATTTATTGGCCCATTATACACACCATTGCTCCTTACCTTCCCAAAAGTGTTACAGATGATCCCCCTAGGGCTTCTAGCTTGCCAACTAGGTAACCCTGGTCCCTTCTTTTATCCTGTGGGACAATTATCCTCTAGGACATGATGACTTAGATATATGTTGGCTCAAAAGTTCTACAAATGGGCCAAAAATGACATCATTTTCTTCTTAGCGCCTTCTTTCATTTGAAAATATGAAATATTTGATCATTTTAAGGAGTAGCATATCTACAAAATTGTAAACCTAGCCCAAGTGCACCGAGCTTCAATAAGACTTCCTAGATCTTCAGAATTGACTTTATCCCCTTTGGACTCACAAGATCATTCTGTGTTGCAAATACCACATGGTACTTCTCATGTTTTCTCCCCTCAGAGATATTTTGTGTTTCTTCTCCTTTTGTCCAGACTGAAAAATTCATTGAGATGAAGATCTATATCATACTCAAATCCGTACCTCAACAGCCCCTGATTCACAAGATTTATAAAATCTGATTTGAGAAAGGATAAATAATAATGAGTGAATAATTAAATAAATGATGAGTGGAGACTGGCGTGCGCTGCTAACTGGATGACTTGGATTACATCACCTCAATGACTCAGGCAAACTCCCACATTATAGTTTTCTTAAACCGCTTGGTCTGATAATAAAATACTGCAGACTCCATGGCTTAAACAAAATTTACCTTCTCACAGTTCTGAAAACTGGGAAATCTGCAATCGAGATGCTGGCTGATTTAGTTTGGGAGAATGAGGGTGCCTTCCTGGTTGGAAACACCATCTTCTTGCTGTGTCCTCTACCAATAAGGTCTTTGGACAAGGCTACCAGTCCCATTGGAGTAGGTCTACCCTTCTGATCTCATTTAGATTAAACTACTTACAAAAAACAGTATCTCCAAATACACCTTGAGGGTTAAGATTTCAACATACAATAATCGAAGCAACCCAATTCAGTTCACAGCACTAGTTCATTTTTTTTTCAAATATGAAATCAATTATTATGACCAAGACCCCTTGGAATTCAGTTGGACAAAAATGAAAGGACTAGACCTTTAATAGTTCTTCACCGAATCATCTTTCCATTCATTTTCCTTCCAGGTTTCAATCCATTATCTTCAGAAGTACACAAGAAATGCTATAAAAATGGTACCTGCAGGTATGAGTGCTACGGAAGTGAGATGTTAGTTGCCTACTGTATGTACAAGCTGGAGTGCTGTGTCACAGGAGACCCTGGGCCCTGACATGAGAAAACCATGAGTGACAATTAACTTGAAGACCCTGATCCTCTCATCTTTTACAAAGCCAGGAATTGAAGTTAAACTCTGACCCTGTGACATGCTCCTGGCTGTTAGTCTTGAGTCTTTTTTCTAAGTCATCAGAATCTTAAGATCTTGACCAGGCACCGTGGTGCACACCTGTAATCCCAGCGGCTTGGGAGGCTGAGGCAGGAGGATCGTGAGTTCACAGCCAGCCTCAGCAACAGAGAGACTCTAAAGAACTCAGTGAGACCCTGTCTCTAAATAAAATACAAAATAGGGCTGGGGATTTGGCTCAGTGGTTGAGTGCCCCTGAGTTCAATCCCCTGGAAAGGAAAGAAAGAAAGAATCTTAGGATCTTGGATTTAAAGACATAAGCTGAAGGCTCCTTAGAAAGAGTTAAGTTTCTCATGAAAATAATTTGAATATATTTTCTCAGTTCTAATTGATATCCAGTATTCTCATAGTACTTATTTCTCTCTGCAATCATAGAGAGAATGTCTCAATTCTTTCAAGAGGCTTCAATAGAAACACCTCTTTACACCTAGTTCCCACCCCACATCTTAGAGCAAGGGAACTTCCCTGGCCCTCTGACAACCTTTGCTGCTCTCACTTAGACCATAGGCAAGGCTCAGCTGCAGGGTGCCCAGAGTCATGAATGCATCTGATCCTGAAGTTCTTCCTGAAACAGAGAGAGAGAGGACATCTTAGGGATAGGCTGTCCTGAGGTTCTTTCTCATCCATCTCCTAGTTTCAGTTAAGCATGGGACTTTCCACCTCAGCTCTTCAGCACTCAGCTATGAGCTATAAGACGACTTGGCTATAGTTTAGGGTTGGTGCTTTGGCAGCTAAGTGACCCACTATCTCTTCTGCCCATCATCTGGCTCCCGGGCTGTGTTATTCTGTAGGCACAAGAGCTGACACCACGCTCCTCTTGCTTTGCTATGTGTGTAACTAATAAATGTCTAAATCTATTTGGACTCACTGTTTTTAATTTCTTATGCAGGTTTTAAAACAAGAAAAACTAGCAACTTCTGCCATGGCCCTAGGGCTTGCTCAGGCCTACTGAATTCCTGCCTGACTATTCAATGCCATCAAGCCACAGACAGATGCACGATGTGTTAGTTCTACATGTGCTGGTCAGGATGACAAGTCGGGTGGCAGAGGAGGGTAGAGTTCGGTTATGGAGCAATTTCTTTAGCCTCAGTGCTGGATGCAACTTGGGCTCTCTGGTGATACTGAGAAGATGGAGCTCCAGATGCCAACAGTCAATTTCAAATCTGGTGCAAGGCTGGGGTAACAATTGCTCAGTTGCCAGGCTGAAAACGACAGTGCCGCCTTCCAACTACTAGTGAGGGGTTGCATCTGGGAAGAGCAAAAGGGAGAACAGTGGGTGAGAAAGAATAAGGGGCTCTGACTTCCCCAGTGCCCAACCTTCTAGCAACTCTTTTGCCAGTGTCACTGGGGAGGAAGATACCAAAAGTCCAGTACAGTGTGTCCTCCCCTCAGAGGCCTCTCTCCCCCGTGGAGTCTGTAGGAGATGGGTTAATTGAATGGGATCAGAGATCACCATAGTTACTGAGTAAGCAGACCAGACATCCATACAGGGCCCAGGAAAATGGTCATACTCTGAGGGTCATGCTTCTACAAGAAACAAAAATAAGACAGGCCGATCCTGCAATGCCTCTGTTCACGTTTTCACAAACCCCAACCTTTGCATTCATACATCTTGTTCGGAAGTGAATTCTGATATAACAATAGTAGCCAAAAACTCCTTTTCACTTTTGGAAGAAGGTTTGTATGTTACATACATATCCTGTGGATCCACTAGACCTCTTTAAATATGGAACCCAAGTAGAAACTGGCTATCTGTCTTTGGTTGGTTTCGGCACACTGACACATTCTAAGGGAAATAAATCCCAAGATCCAAAGGCTTAAAAATAATGTAAGTATTTATCAAATTTCTCAAACAACAAAATGGAAGAGTTTTGTCACAATGTACAGCAAACTTTCTTCAAAATTCTTTCTGGGTATCAGTACCTGACATCTGACTCATCTAAGGACAAAAAATATATCCAGAATTTGTCTTAGATACCAAGATTCTGAAAAGCCTTAAATGCAGGAAAACGCTCTGTCTTTAGGGAAATTCACTTAGTAAAAACGTAAAAATTGGTAAACTACTGATTTTTTATGTCTATTTTTTCTAGTTTTATTAAGCTATAGTTGACAAATAAAAATGCATATTCAAGGGATACAAAATTATGACTCAGTACACACATACATGAGTTAATAATGACCACAAATAAATCCGTGAACCTCTCACTACTCATCATTATCATTGGAGAAGGGGTGGGAACACTTAAAATTGGTCCTTTTATCAAATTTTAAATAAACTATATGGTATAACTAACTATAGTTATCATGCTGTACGTTAGATCCCAGAACTTAGTCATCTTACAACTGGAAGTTTATACCCTTTGATCAATATCTCCCCTCTAACCCAGCTCCCAACCCCTGATGCCAGCGTTCTGCTTTTGGCTCCTATGGATGGGTGTCCTCACAAAAGTAGGCCTCAGGGAGACACTTCATTCCCTCAGACGTTCAACACAGCCAGGTGTCACTGTCTGTGAACCTGAAAGTGGGCCTTCACAGGACACCAAGTCTGCAGGGGCCTAGATCTTGGTGGGTTTCTCAGTCCCTAGAACTGTAAGAAGTAGATGGGGTCACCCATCCAAGGTATATTTTTCTGGCAGCCCAACAGATAAAGACAGTAATGTCTTCTGTTTTCTGTATTCTGATGACTTCATCTGACAGGCCTTGTTGACCCTGGAGAAACACGTCCCCAGGTGTAGCAATTCCTAGAGGCAGTAAGTAAAGAACCTGTCCTCCAAGGTGCTTTCGAATACAAACAACTAATCCAGAGCATGTCCTCCTACACCTCATCAGGCGCCATACCCTGGGTCCCTATCACATTTCAGTCACCTCAGAACCAGGCAATGAGGGCTCACCCCTGTGTCCAGGAACCCACTGGAATTATTCACACTCCAACCCAACCTGCTTATCCTGCCTCATGCTCCTTCCAGTGAGAAACCCTGTTAGAGTCTGTAAACAAGTCAAAATAACACCTGGCATTTTGCCAGGGGAATGTTAGAGTTCGTAAACAAGTCTGGATGGTGCCTGGCAAAATGCCAGAGGGAGTGGTTTGAGAAGTAACAAAAGCGAGCCATTAAGTGTGGAGATTCCTGATTGGTTGACTGCTGTATCTAGTTTATGCTAATTAGATAAGCTGTGTGGAATGTATAAATACTGCTCCTATCCTGCAATAAACGGCTTCCACTCCTGCTGTATCAATCTACACAAGTTGCTCGTCACCCCCCGGTTATTTTGCTGCAGCCGGACTGTGGCAAAACCCAATAAGGAATCACACCCATGTTTTTCACTTTCTCCCTCTGCTTCCTGACTGACTCCAGTGCTTCCCCGTGTGACCACCTAGTGTAGAATGTCGCCGTTTCTTGGAAACCACGAGTAATAAGCTCTTTTCGACAGTAATCACCTCCTGTGTTGACCTCACCATACCTCTGATTTTACATTGCCACTTTCTCAAACACCAGTCCCCCAGGACCAAATCCCGGAGGAATCACTAAGGGATCTGAAGGACACAACTAGCCTATCCACAACCGCAGCCTCAGCCATTGAGTGATGCTCCTTTTCAAACAGGCTGGACGTTCATTATTCCCGGAGTCTCCTCAACTCTTCAGCAAAGCTTCCTCCTGCCTTATCCTTGGCATAATCCAGCTCTGCTGACCAAGCAACGTGTACCAACAAGCACCAACGGGCGACTTTGGACACGTTACCAAATCAAAGGGTCTCACAACTTCCCCTGGAGCAACCAGCGCCTTTTAGCCTAACATGACCAAAAGAGGTCACTCTGGCTAAATAGATACCGACAATGAGACACGGCATCACCAAACTGTCAAAAGTCAAAGTCATAAACCATTTTTTGTTGTTTTTTTGTTTTGTTTTGTTTAAGAGAGAGAGAGAATTTTTTTTTTTAATATTTATTTTTCAGTTCTTGGCGGACACAACATCTTTGTATGTGGTGCTGAGGATCCAACCCGGGCCCCACGCATGCCAGGCGAGCACACCACCGCTTGAGCCACATCCCCAGCCCTTTTGAAAACAACCAGAGAAAAGCACATTCTTGTCTATCTCCAAAAGACTATCAGTGGAGTTTTCAGCAGAAGCCTTGCAGCAGAAAGAAGTACATACAAAGTGTTGAAGAAAATAAAACTACCAAGATTGCTTTACCCAGGAAGCCCGTCCTTCAGACTGAGGCAGACACTGAGACTTTCTCAGACAAGCAAAAGCTGAGAATCGGTCACTACTAGATCTGCCTTGCAAGAAATGCTAAGTTGAAATGAAAGGACATTAGGTGGCAAAATAAGAGCATAAATAGACAAAACCAGAATATCATACTACCATGACAATGGTGGGTTAATTATCAACTCTACTACAAAAGCTAAAAAGACAAAGTACTAAAAATAACTGAGCTGGGCACAGTGGTGCACGCCTGTAATCCCAGCAGCTCAGGCGGCTGAGGCAGGAGGATCGCAAGTTCAAAGCCAGCTTCAGCAACTTAGTGAGGTTCTAAGCAACTCAGCAAGAACCTGTATCTAAATAAAATATAAAAAATGGCTCAGTGATTAAGCACCCCTGGGTTCAATCCCCAATATCAAAAAATAAAAAAATCAGAAAATTAAAAATAGATAAAAAGAACCAATTTTAAAAAGAAAAAGGCAAAGAAAGATAAATGGATAACAAAATGGCAATCTTAAATTCTCCTATTACTTTAAATGTAAATGTATTAAACTCCCCCAGTAAAAAGATACAGAGGCCAAAAATGGTGGTACATGCCTGTAATTCCAGCAACTCAGGAGGCCAAGGCAGGAGAATCGAAAACTTGAGGCCAGCTTCAGCAACTTAGC